TAGTGAGTTCCAGGACAGCTGGGGCTACAGGGAGACCCTGTCTCAAAAAGACAAAATAAATAAACAAAATAAAAATAAATAAGAAGAAGGGGGGAAAAAAGAACACTTGCTGTTCCTGCAGAAGACTCAGGTTTGATTCCCAGCACCCATATTGGGCAGCTCAGCCCCCTGTATTTCCAATTCCAGGGTCTATGATGTCCCCTTCCAGTCTCAGGCACCTGCATACACATGTACATATATAGACTCAGCCCCCCCCCACACACACATATAAAATGTAAAGGTGGAGAAGGGTTGAGGAAGACACCCAGTGTTGACTCCTGACCTCCACACTCACTTACACATGTGCGCATGCACCTGCACACACGGAGATAATCACAACAACTGCTGCTGTTCTAGATGCGTCCTCTAAGCTGTGTTTGCTTTTTGCAGGATGATCCCTTTCAAATGAAGACGGGTGGCATGGTGGACATGAAGAAGCTGAAGGAAAGGGGCAAAGATAAGTAAGTGGAGAGCGCATACACACACACACACGCACACATGAACTTAAATATTACAGAAGTCTTCAGTCATTCCCTGAGCATTAGCAGAGGCCCCCAGTTGCTTGCACAGGTCTCTAGGGTTTCTTTTATTTCCACCCCATGCCATGTCATGTTTTTTCCCAGCCATTAGCAGGATAGTGGTCTTCCTGCTGAGTCCCAGTCATTCTCATATAACTGGGCCTGACTGACTGACCTGCTCCCTGCTCTCTCAGGGTCAGTGAAGAGGAGGACCTGCACTTGGGAACGTCGTTTTCCGCAGAAACCAACCGGAGGGACGAGGATGCAGACATGTAGGTACCACTGTGTCCGGGTCTGTGAGTACTGGGGTTGGGCAGAGTCACAGATGAAACATGGTTCCAGTATTTTCTGGAAGGTGTAAATGTTGGCTATGCTTTCCCCACTTGCCAAGTTTAAGATCTGAAAGCCTCTTAAAAGTTCTTGAAGCTGGGCGTGGTGTCGCACGCCTTTAATCCCAGAGGCAGAGGCAGGTGGATCTCTGTGAGTTGGGGGCTAGCCTGTTCTACATAGGGAGTTCCAGGCCAGCTGGGGCTACAGGGAGACCCTGTCTCAAAAAGACCAAAAAAAAGTTCTTTAAAAGGCTGAGTCTTTGGATTTATGTTTCCCTCTGTTCCTTCTCCCCCTCCATCCTCCCCTCCCTATCGTCCTACACTGGACAAATGCTAGATCAGTGCTCTACAGCTGAACTACATCCCCAGCCCCTGGCTTTCCTGACCAGTGTATTTCCTCAAAACACAAGGATAAAACACAGACTTGCCACTTTCTCCTTTTCAACAAGGCCTTTGAAACAGTGCCAGGGTGGTCCTGCCTTAGAACCTTTCCTACTCTGAAGAGTTCTTTCTGTTTTCCTTAATAAATCCTGATAAATTTACATTAGCTTTCCTTGAATAAAACAAAAACATAAACGTAGTATCACTTTTCTGTCTTCAAAGGACTGCCTATATCATAACAACAGTAAAATGGTTGGCCACAACCTCCAATACAAGTGTTTTCAAACTTGAAAAAAGCTCAATCCAGGCATGGTGACAATGCGTGTATTTCTAGCACCTAGGAGGCCAAGGCAGGAGGATCTCAAGTTTGAAGCCAACAAGTTTATATAGTGTGAGACTTTGTCTCAAAAACAACGTTGGAGCAGGGGCTGAAGAGATGGCTCAGTGGTTAAGAGCACTCACTGGGTGTTCTTACAGAGGATCGGGGTTCGATTCTCAGCACCCACATGTCAGCTAACAACTGGAGTCTGTAACTCCAGTTCCAGGAGATCTGACACCCTCTTCTGATCTCATTGGGTATTGCACGACTGGGGTGTACTTAACATGCAGGCATGCAGTATGCTTATACACATAAAATAAAAATAAAATATTTTTTAAAAAAAACAAAAAAGCTTCCAGAGCCAGGCATGGTGGCACATGACTTTAATCCCAAGGCTGGGAAGGCAGAGGCAGGCGAATCTCTGAGCTCCACACTCATGCTGGGGCATGCACACTCCCATGAGCTCCACACACATGCTGGGGTATGCACGCTCCCACGCAAGCATACACACACAAAATGTTTTAGAAAATAGCCTTTAGCATATGGTGAGAGGATGCCCGCTGTGGACTAGCCCTCCCTGAGCCTATGGATTTTGATTCTCAGGATGAAGTACATTGAGACTGAGCTGAAGAAGAGAAAAGGGATTGTGGAACATGAGGAACGGAAAGTCAAGCCCAAGAATGCCGAGGACTGCCTCTATGAACTGCCTGAAAATATCCGCGTCCCCTCTGCCAAGAAGACCGAGGAGATGCTCTCCAACCAGATGCTGAGTGGCATCCCTGAGGTGGACCTGGGCATTGAGTGCGTCTCCAAGTCCCGGCTTTGCCCCTGCCCCCAGGAAGACTTGCTGTCTGTTCAGTTAGCAGTTAGGGTGTGGTTAGGTTGCAGAGTGCTTGCCTCCCATTCCCAAGGCCCTGAGTTCTGTCCCAACACTGAAAAAATACCAGCTCTGGATGGCTCAGTTGGTCAAGTTCAGGCATGAGGACTTCAGTTTGGTTCCCACAGCCCACATAAAAAGCCACGTGCAGTGACCTGCACTTGTCTCCCCAGCCGTGGGGAGGCAGGGACAGGAGACTCCTGGGTCTTCGAAGGCCAGCCAGCCTACTTGGTGAGATTCTGGCTAGTGAGAGACCTTGTCTCGAAATGAGGTGGGTGGCGCCTGAGGAATGATACCCAGGATCATCCTCTGGCCTTCACATGTACACACACCCCCACACACGTAAATTATCCTTGGAAACCTACAGACAAATTCTCGGGCAGGTTGTCACCAGGCGTTTCTCACAACACCTGGTCCCAGTGGCTGAAGAGCCCCTGACCTGAAGACAAAAGTATCTCTTTGCTCAGAGCCACCTGGCTTTGTTCTCTTCCAGCCAGAGCCTTGCAAAAGGCTCTCCCCTCCCCGCCATGAGGGTCCTTTCTTCGATGGGATTGTCCTGCAAGAAATACAGGGTGTGTGTCGTTCTGAGGATGGAGCCCAGGGCCTTAAACATGCTAGGCAACTTTTACCACCTAGCTGCAAGCCCAGCCCCTTATTTCCTCTTAATCAAGAGACCACCTCCTGTTCCATGCTCTGTGGCATGTGACCATCGGGTTGGGCCAGGCAAGGTATACACGTCTAATCTCAGCAGTGGGGAGGCTGAGGCAGGAAGAGAAGATCTTGAGTTCCAGGCCAGCTTGGGATACATAGAGAAACCTTAGAAAAAAGGAGAGTAGGGACAGAAAGGAGTCCACCACACTGTAGAGCACTGTGCCCCGGGACAAGTCCTTGTGCAGTGGGAGGTACCCAGCCTCACCAGTCACTTCCAAAGGCATAGTGGTCTCATGGGGTGCGGGCCTCCTGTCCCCACAGTGCTAAAATAAAAAACATCATTTCCACGGAGGACGCCAAGGCCCGGTTGCTGGCAGAGCAGCAGAACAAGAAGAAGGACAGCGAGACGTCGTTTGTGCCGACCAACATGGCTGTGAACTATGTGCAGCACAACCGCTGTGAGTGCTGCCTGCCCCATCTGGGGCGGCCCCGGGAGCCCTGCACCCCGAATTCCAAGAGGGTCCAGGAGCCCATCACCTCACTTTCCAAGAGGCGCCAAGAGCCTTTCACCCCCACATCCCCTGGGAACCCACTTCCTGTCTGATGTGTGCCCTGGTCTCTGCAGTTTATCATGAGGAACTCAACACACCCATCCGGAGAAACAAAGAAGAACCCAAAGCCCGGCCTTTGCGAGTGGGTGACACAGAGAAGCCGGAGCCTGAACGTGAGTACAGTAGCCCCAGATGGCCCCTGGGTGGCCTGTCTGGGCAGAGCTGGGTTGGGCATCTGGTCTGGGTCTGTGCTATGGACCATGGCCTTGTGCCTTCCCTTTTCTCAGCTGTTTCCTGCTGGGTAAATGGGGAGAGTCGCAGAGCTCCCCTCAGTTATTTGGCATATCCCCTGGGCTGTCAAGCACAGTAGAGACTTGTGCTGAAAAGTCTGTTTCAGTAAACAAAATAAAAGCTGCTCATAAATAAGAGCTACGTGGCAAGGCCCTTCTGTGCACTTGCACTGGCCTCAGGTCTTGGGGCTGCTGTGGGGTGAGAGGTCCCCCCTTTGAGGAGGTCTCTAGATTCCACCATGACCAGCAGCCTCTGTTCTCTTCAGGGTCTCCTCCTAACCGAAAGCGTCCTGCTAATGAGAAGGCCACTGATGACTACCACTATGAGAAATTCAAGAAGATGAACAGGCGGTACTGAGACGGCAGAGGGGGATGTAAATAGCGTATACACGCGCCCAATGCAGACAGTGCCCAAGAAAAGTGCTGCTTAGGGAGGTGACTTTCGGCCCAGACAGGGCTGCTGCGACCACTGGGATTTCTGCTTCTGGTTTTGGTTCAGAGACAAGAGTCTCCCAGGCTGGCCATGAACTCAAGACCCTCTTCCCTCCACCTCCCTACTTCTGGGATTATAGAGCTTTGTCAAGCACTAAATTTGTAACATTTTTTGAAATAAAACAATGTGATTTCCCTGTTTGGGGGCAAACTCTTCTCCTGAGTATTAGTAAATTGTATTTGTAAATATGTTGCCTTTCTCTTAATGTTTGCTCTTGGCCAGGAGGAACTAGCTATGTGTTGACTGTGATATTATTTACATTGTGTTTTATGCTTACACACAACCATGTCTTTCAAATGTTTGAAATGGTGATGAAAAATGCATCCTTCCCTGTTTGTAGTGTCCAGCAGACAGCAGAATGCAGGATGAGTTCCCAGAGACCTGGTCTTCCCTGGCTTTTACAGAGCTGCTTCTTCTGATTAAAAAAGAAAAAAGCTGTGTGGTGGTGCACACCTTTGATCAGAGCACTTGGGAGGCAGAGGCAAGTAGGTCTTTATGAGTTCCAGGCCAGTCTGGTCTATATAGTAAGTTCCGGGCCAACTACTGTTACATAGTGAGACTGTCTTTTTAAAAAAAAAAAAAAGGCTGGGTGTGGTGGCACACACCTTTAATGCCAGCACTCAAGAGGTAGAGGCAGGTGGATTTCTGTGAATTCAAGGTCAGCTTTGTCTACATAGTGAGTTCCAGGACAGCAGGGGCTACAGGGAGACCCTGTCTCAAAAAGAAAAAAAAAATCTGATATTTGTATATTACATTTGTCAAAATTCATGAACCACAATCGCTGATTAAAGCTCATAGTTTTGACATTGGGAACCTACTATCTTTAATTGATTTTTTTTAAATACGTATTTTTATGCCTGTGTGTGTGTACTTGCATGAGTTGATGTGCACCTCGTATGCAGGAGCTGGTGGAGACCAGAAGAGGGTGTTGGATCCCCTGGAACTGGACTTACAGGCAGTTGTGAGCCACCGTGTGGGTGCTGGGGACCAAACAGGTCCTCTGCAAGAGCAGTAAGCTCTCTCAACCCAAGCTGTCTCTCCAGCCCCTTATTTTATGTGTATGCATGTTTTACCTCCATGTATGTAGGTGCACCACATACATGCAGTGCTCACGGAGTCCAAAAGAGGGCTCAATCCCCTGGACCTGGAGTTAAAGAAGGTTATTAGCCCCGTGTCGGTGCTGTGCAAAGGGCAGCCAGTGCCGTGACTCCTGGGCCATCGCTCCGGCCCGTATTCTCATTAAAACAAAACACAACTCTTCTGAGACACTATTCGGCCCTTTGAAGGGGAGGAAAAAAGAGGAAAACAATGACCAGGATCTGATTCCCAGAAGGGATGGTGCAGAAGCCCCGGGGCTTCGCCCCTAACAAATATGGCACCGCCGGCGTCAGGCGATAGCCTGCCCGCCATAAAGAGGGCGGCCGGGAGCGCAGGAACCGGAAGTCGCGTCGGGCGCTGTGCGGACAGGGTCGACGCTGCAGCGCGCAGGGGCGCGGGTCGGGGCATGAAGCTGGGCCGGGCCGCGGTGGCCCTGCTGCTGCTGGCGCCGTGCGCGGTGCGTGCGGTGGAGCCCATCAGCCTGGGTCTGGCGCTTGCGGGCGTGCTCACCGGCTACATCTCGTACCCCCGCCTCTACTGCCTGTTCGCCGAGTGCTGCGGCCGGAAGCGGAGCCTCAGCCGGGAGGGTAGGCGAGCCGGGCGGGGGCCAGGCCGGGCCGGGCCGGGTGGAGGGAGCGGAGGGGCCGGACCCCCGAGACCGGCCGGCGGCCTCCCAGCGCCGCTTCCCCCCGGCCTCGGAGCACAGCCGGTGTGGGGCGCAGCGGGGCGGTCGCCGGGAGCAGCCGAAAGCGGCCGCAGCCCGGACCGGGCCCGCAGCACCTGCTGGACGGCCTTGCCGGCCCCTAGGCCTTTTCTGGAGCGCGTGAGCGGCGCTGAGCTTGGCCAGCTGCCTCTCCTGACCCGCTCTGTCCTTTCCTTCCCCAGCGCTGCAGAAGGATCTCGACAACAAGCTCTTTGGGCAGCATCTTGCTAAGAAAGTCATCGTCAACGCTGTGTCTGGTTTTCTAAGCAACCCCAAGCCCAAGAAACCTCTTACCCTCTCCCTGCACGGGTGGACTGGCACCGGCAAAAACTTCGTCAGCAAGATCATCGCAGAGAACATTTACGAGGGCGGACTGAACAGTGGCTATGTGCACCTGTTTGTGGCCACGCTGCACTTCCCCCACGCTTCCAACATCACCCTGTATAAGGCAAGGGCCTTAGCTGGACTCCGTGGATGATGATGCTGGCTCTGGGGTTTCTCACTTGTGTGATGGGATGTGGGAGTTTCATGTCAAGACGAATGAGCCTGAACATGGCTCTGTGTGTCAGTTCCTCTTTAAACAGTGTAGAAATTGCTGGGCCTGGTAATCTCAGCAATTCTGGAGGCAAAGGTAGGAGGAACTAAAGTTCCAGGCCAGCCTGTGCAATTTAGACCCTGTTTCAAAATAAAATAAAAAGGGCTGGGGTGGTCCTGTGGTGGAGCACTTGCCCAGCAGGTTGAAACCCTGAGGGGAGGGAGGGGAAGGGTGTGGAGGGCCTGTCAGTTACTGAGGGTTTGAGATACATAGAACAATAATATCATCAAAGCTTTTTTTTTTGTCTTTTTTTTTTTTTGAAGCAGGGTCTCTTTGTAGCCCCAGCTGTCCTGGAACTCACTATGTAGACCAGGCTGGCCTTGAACTCAGAGATCCACCTGCCCCTGCCTCCCAAGTGCTGGGACTACAGGTGTGTGCCACCATGCCTGGCTCAAAAAAATTTATTTATTTACTTATTTATTTATTTATTGGTCTTTTTGAGACAAGGTCTCCCCATAGCTCCAGCTGTCCTGAAACTCACTGTGTAGACCAGGCTGGCCTTGAACTATTTTTTTTGTTTTTAATTTTATGTGTATGCATGTATTGCCTGCATGTAGGTAAGTGCACCAGTGTCGTGAAATGCACTCGGAGATCAGAAGAGGCTGTCGGATCCCGGATCCCCTGGGACTGGAGTTGGACAAGTGGGTTTAGGGATTCGAACCCGAGTCTTCTGCAAGAACAACCGCTGAGCCATCTCTCCAGCCCCAATATATCATCAAAGCTTCATAGGTTTATTTTTTTGTTCTTGTTTGAGACACGGTCTCTGTGTAGCCCAGGCTGGCCTGGAACTTGCTACATAGATCAGGCTGGTCCCCAGCTCACAGAACAGAGACCCCATTGGCCTCTGCCTCCCAAGTGCTGGGTTTAAAGACATATGCCATAATGCCCTGCCACGGGTGATTTCTTTTTTTTTTTTTCTTTTTCAGTCTTTTGAGACAGGGTTTCCCTGTAGCCGCAGCTGGCCTAGAACTCAATTTTTGTAGACCAGGCTGGCCTTGAACTCAGAGATTCACCTGCCTCTCCCTCCCGAGTGCTGGGATTAAAGGTGTGAGCCACCCGGCCTGGCTCATGGGTGATTTCTTAAACTAGTCTTGGTGATATTTGGTGCAGTCAGTAGGGGCATAGAGTTTTAGGGGTGGACATGATCAAATCCAACTTAAAAGTCTTTGGGCCCCACTCTTTTTGTGAAGAGGAAACACCTCTAGAGAGAGGCTTCAGTTTGCTTTGACTTGGCTGTTTCGACCTGCTCTTGTACTTTAATTCGCTAATTAACAGCCCACACCCGAATGCAAGCCCTGACTCCAGCTGTGTCGTCTTGAGAACATTCATTACCGAATGGTGCTTGAGGGCAGACCTGTCAAGTGCTCGTCTTGTCCTCTTCTGCATCAGCCTCACCAGAATGTGTGATTTTTGGCAGGTTGTTTAACTTCCAGGCACCTGAGTTTTACCATGTCAGAGGGAACACAGCTGGGTGTGGGAGCGCACACCTGTATTCCCAGTGCTGGGGGTGCTGAGGCAGGAGGATCACACGTTTGAGGCCAGCTTGGGCTAAATAGTGAGCTTCTGTCTAGAAATAGGGAAAGAGACAGGAAGATGAGGAGAAGGAGAAAACCAGAGAGATCCAATAGCATTCCCTCGATGGCTTTGGGGAGGTGCTACAGCATGTTCTGTGGACGGTTCTTTGAAACGTGTGTTGTTAGCGCCTGTCCATGTTCTCTGCTACATAGGCTGGGGCAGGAGAGTGGGAAAACCTGGGCTGCTGGGCACAGCTGAGTGAATCCTGTGTAAACAGTGATGGCCCCATGGTCCCAGTAGGCCACTTGTGGTCACTGAACTCTTCTCTTAGTGGAGGCTGGTCCATACCTGCAGAGTTTCTGCTTAGATTAGATACACACATGGCATATTGTAGCCGTGAAGCCAAGGAAAAACCCCTAAGTAGATGTATACTGTAAACTTGTAATTTCTTTGTGTGTGTCTTTTTGAGACAGGGTCTTCCTGTAGCCCCGGCTGTCCTGGAACTCACTTTGTAGACCAGGCTGGCTTTGAACTCAGAGATCCGCCTGCCTCTGCCTCCCAAGTGCCGGAATTAAAGGCCTGTGCCACCTTGCCCAGTGAGCCCTGTATCTTTTTTTTTAAAAAAAAAGTTAATTTCTCCACTTCAGGAAAAAAAATCCTACAAATTATATAGAATTTTGGCTCCATTTTCTAAGGAGAAAGACTCAAACTATTTTTGTGTCTTACCTTGATTGCTTAATGTTGTAGGAAGTAGCCTGGGCTGGAGTGAGTGGCTCAGTGGTGGAACGCTGGCCTGCATGACTGATGCTCTGGGTTTATTCCCTAGCACCCTCCCCAAAACGCCCAAATATAAATAAGGGGTCTTTTGGAGACATATGCTGGCGATTGTAGCCCAGGCTGGCCTGGGTTCCTTTGGTTTTGTTTTTTTACTTATGTGGGGGGGTACAAGTGTTCTTTTGTGCGAGCATGTACAAGCCAGACGTCAACCTTGAGTGTGGTTGCTTAGGAGCTGTCTGCCTTTTTTGCCGGGGAGATGCTAGACTGGTTATCAGGCCCCAAAGATCCTGTGTTTGCCTCCCTGGTGCTGGTTCTGTGATAACAAGTGCATCACCATGCCTGGCTTTTTCTGGTGGGTACTGGGGAGTGAACTCAGGTCCTCACACTTGTGAGGCAAGCACTTAACCCACTGAGCTTGCTTCCCCAGCCCTGGCCTTGTACTCGATCTTTCTGTCTCGGCTGGGTTTAGAGATAAGTGCCAGCACTTCAGCCTCCAGTTACATTCTTATGGCATGATCCTGGCTGGGCAGATTTCAGAAATCCTCAGTTGTTTCAGAGACTCCATATCGCCCCTCCAGGCTCTTTCCAGACTACCGAGTGCGCAAGTTTAGCCTTCTCAGAAAAGAGAACCCTGTGCACTGTGTTCCCACCCTGAGTCTGAGCTTCTTCAGGCTGGACTGCAGAGTGAGGGACAGGGTGGCACCTGGTTCCCACCTTCTTCCCGGGAGACTGGCATTTTGAGCACTGGAGCTGGCTCCTGGCTGACAGCATCAGTGTGGTCTCAATGTTGAGTCATTTTAATTTTTTTGTTTGTTTTGTTTTTTGAGACAAGATCTCCCTATAGCCCCAGCTGGCCTGGAACTCTATGTGTAGACAAGGCTGTTCTTGAACTCAGAGATCTGCCTCTGCCTCCTGGCTGGGATTAAAGGTGTGGACCACCGCCTGAGTGTAGTCTTAAATGTGGGGCTTTGGACTTGGACAGGCTTAGACCCCAGCTTGGCTCGTCTTAATTTGAGGGTCTTGGGAAAGCTGATGAAGATCAGAGCCCTTGCCATAGCATGAGTTGATGATGCCGTACACACAGTGGTCATGAGGCACATAGAAGCACTTAGCACAGTGTTCCCAAAGTGCAGTCCTTGCTCCTAGCAGGAGCTGTTTGAATGAGCACAAGGGAGGCTTGGGTTCCATCCCAGGCCTGCACAGAAACAAATGTAAAGTTGTTTGAACTGCACTTGCTGAGAGCTCTGAATCGGTTTCCTCTTGTCATTCAGGATCAGTTACAGATGTGGATTCGGGGCAACGTGAGTGCCTGCGCCAGGTCCATCTTCATCTTTGATGAGATGGACAAGATGCATGCGGGCCTCATTGACGCCATCAAGCCTTTCCTGGACTATTACGATGTAGTAGACGAGGTCTCCTACCAGAAAGCCATCTTCATCTTCCTCAGGTGAGGCTGCGGCCGGGACATGATGGAAGACCCTTGAGCCTAGACCCAGGGTCTCGGGAGGAAGTGCAGTCCCCCCTCACTGCAGTTGTTTTGCAGCAATGCGGGGGCAGAAAGGATTACGGACGTGGCTTTGGATTTCTGGAAAAGTGGGAAACAGAGGGAAGAAATCAAGCTCAAAGACATGGAGCCTGCGCTGGCTGTGTCAGTCTTCAATAACAAGAACAGTAAGTAGGCCGCCTGTCACTTGCCCACCCGTAGTCCTAAGTTCTACCCAGCCTGGGAGCTGGGTTCAAATGCTGAGTGTCTGTGCTCCCCCTCAAACCCAGCAGAGTTCCTGAGGGGTGTCTGTTAGTGAGCCCTAGGTGACTCTTTGAACACTGAAGTTCAAGAAGTAGAACTCCTTAGCTGATTGGTTGGCTCACTGAGGCAGTGTCTTGCTATGCCAGGTCACCCTTGACCTCTCGAGTTCTGGGACCCTAGGCATGAATCACCACCCTCTGTTAGAAGTGCAGTTTTGAGCCAGGCATAGTGGTGCATGCCTTGGCAGAGGCAGGCAGATCTCTGTGAGTTCGAGGCCAGCCTGTTCTACATAATGAATTCCAGGCCAGGGGCTACAGGGAGACCCTGCTTCAAAAAAGACAAAAAAAAAAAAAAATGCTCTTTTAAACAGGGTAATGGTTGGTTGAACTCTTGAAAATCAGTTCCCTGTGTTCTTCGGCTAAAGGCTTCTCCTTGTAGAGGAAAAGCAGGTAGTCGAACCAAGAAGTCTCCAGGGGAGGAGAGGACGTGGACCCCTCCCCTTGTCTGCTTTGCCCTAGAGCTCTGCTGGCCATGGGCCTCCTCCTGGACCAGTCACTGAGACACTCCATCTGCTTGTCTCATTCTGTCTCCATGGTTACCGCATAGGGTAGATGCTTATTGTCCCACTTTACAGAGGAGGACACTGAGGCGCAGAGCTGTAGCAGCTTGTTTGTTGCCACACAGCCCGTGCGGTATCTTTGATTCTCGAACTGGAGCCTTTGCTTTCAGCCCAGCTTCTCCAGAGAGCTAATGCATGCTGACCTTTGGCCTTGAACCCGAGGAGGCGCAGAGCGGGAGGCTGACTCACTGCTTGTCTGACCAGGTCTTTGCTGTTCTCAGGTTGTTGAGGTGACAAAGCAAAAGGCCACAGGCCTCACTAGAAACACATTAGCCAAGAAATTCACATTGGCCTGTGTGGTGGCACACACCTTTAATCCCAGCACTCGGGAAGCAGAAGCAGGCGAATCTCCGTGAGTTCAAGGCCAGCCTGGTCTACATAGTGAGTTCCAGGCCAGCTGGGGCTACAGGGAGACCCTGTCTCGAAAGAAAGAGCCGGGTGTGGTGGCGCACGCCTGTAGTCCCAGCACTCGGGAGGCAGAGGCAGGCAGATCTCTGTGAGTTCAAGGCCGGCCTGGCCTACATAGTGAGTTCCAGGACAACTGGGGCTACAGGGAGACCCTGTCTCAAAAAGACAAAAAAAAAGAAAAACAGAAATTCATATGGAGTTAATGTCACAGGATATTCTATGTACATGTGTGCTAATGGACTATTACTGAGAAAAGACAAGGTTTTCGTAAAACTTTGAAAATTCTTCCTGCTGAAAAGCATGAGCACACGGAAGAAGTGTGGCCTCATATGGCGGCTCTGCAGCCACACACTCAGAACCACACTTTGCCGTGAGGCGCTCAAAGAAAGCCTGGGCACCGGGCAGATGAGGCTTGTGCAGCAGCGGTCACTTAGCACCTCTGATGTGCCAGGCACTGGTCTGAGAACTGGAAACAGTGAACACAACCAGGAATCCCACCGCGTCACAGAGCCTGCCTTCCAGTGAGAACAGAAAATGTGTCAGCAGGGCGGTTGTAGGTGTGTGTTCACTTACGTACGTGTGTACCCTCAAAAGGGAAACAAACAAGTTGGGACTGGGATAAGAGTAGGCTGTTGGTTGTTTTTGCTTTTTCCATTTGCACGTATGTATGGTGTGTGTACTTGCATGTTTGCATTCATGTGGATACACGAGTGCATGCGTGTATGTACATGTGGAGGCTCAAGGTTGATATCAGGAATCATCCTTAATCTCCATCTTACTCATTGAGGCACTCCAAGGGTCTGGACTCTGCCAGGTCCTCCGCTGCACAGGCCTGGCTCTGCCCAGCCCAGCCCAGCCCAGCCCAGCCAGGGATGTCTGACCCAGCACCCACTGGATGATGCCCCATGAGCTCAGAACACATCTTGATGTCTCTTCACTTGTTAGCCCCTGTGACCATGTTCCCAAAGCAAGCTGTGCAGAGCCCAGAGTCTGTGTTCTTGGTCCCCAATGGTGCCTGTGATACTCAGCGAGGACCCCATCCTGGCTGGTTGGGGTGGGTAAATGGCCATGACAAAGAACAAAATTGGTCACCAAGTAGACAACTGTGCAATGTGGAAGGCCTACTCTGCTAGGTGTGCACAGGGCCCTGGGGATGGGAGGGGTGGAAGCAGTGAGCACCGCAGTAGAGTAGGTAGCTGGGGGTCTCAGGTGAGGTCAGCCTGGGGAGATCACCCCTGGCGGAGTCCTGACCCTTGGGGTGCACACAGTCGGTGTTGCCAGAATGCTCTGGTTGGACACTGGTGGCAAGAGTTGCTTTCTACCCAGTTGCTGGTCTAGCCCATGAACCTCTGGGGAGAGGCTCATTTCCCAGATGAAGAGAGGTGGTGGAGTCTGTTCCTGGGGTGCCTCTCCTACCTTCTTCCACCTTTGCCAGCTTGTGCATGGCTCCCACCCACGCTGCCGTCTCTGCTGGTTCTGGACCCGAGCACACAAGGCTTGTGGCCCTCTTGCCCACCTCCCATCTCTAAGGCACACTTGAGAGGCCTTTCTGAGACTGCAGTGCAAAGATGTCCCTTTTTGTGAGACAGGGTCTCACTGTGCAACCCTGGCTGCATCTGTCTCCGTGCTGGGATTGAAGGCATGTGCTACCACACCCAGCCAAAAGTGTCCCTTTTATGTCACCCTGCCCTGCTGTCACAGCAGTATCACAAGCTGTAGGTGTTGGTGGGCAGCTCCCTGACCCATCTCCTATGTACAGAGGCCACCAAGGGCCCTGGCCCAGGAAACACCATTAAGCATGTGGTGGATAGGTGGACCGGGTGGGTCTTGACTGGCACCTTCTGTCTCCCCAGGTGGCTTCTGGCACAGCAGTCTCATTGACCGAAATCTCATTGATTATTTCGTCCCCTTCCTGCCCCTGGAGTACAAACACCTAAAAATGTGCATCCGAGTTGAAATGGAGTCCCGAGGCTACAACGTGGACGAGGACATTGTAAATAAAGTGGCTGAAGAGATGACATTCTTCCCCAAGGAGGAGAGAGTCTTCTCTGACAAGGGCTGTAAGACAGTGTTCACCAAGTTAGACTACTACCTGGATGACTGAGTCTGGGAGTCCTGCCCCCACTCAGTGCTCAATCCGTCCAGCTTCCTGGAGGAGGGCCCCTGGAACAGTCCTGCTGGCTCACCAGGAATCCCCGTGGGGACTCCTTCCATCCCTGCAGGTGGCCATGCCATAGGGATCTGGACATGACAGGGACACTGGAGCCTCCAGAGGAGGTAACCACCTCCCAACCCGCCCATGCTGGGCTCATGATTTTTTAAAGATTATGTTTTAATTTCAGGTACTTGTTTCAAGGAAGGATGAATAAGTTTTACTGCAAATGTGATAACTTTATTTAAAATGGTTTTTAACATGAGAAACCTCTCTGATTCTAAGCCTTTGTGTATCTTTTGAAATTGTCAATTCTGACATTAGCACGGGTGTCTGCTGCACAGAGCAGCATCACAGGGACTGGGGGCTATCCCCAGATGACCACAGCCAGCCCTGCCAAGGGGCCATGACATAGTTATCGCCCAGCATCCTCGCCCTGGGCTCTCAGTGAGGTGAATGTGGGAATGGTCTCAGTGACCCTGAATGTCTGCCAGGTCTAGCAGGGGGCCAGGCAGGCAGGAAACAGCTCTAGATTAGGCCTGGTGAGGGGCAGGGCTCCCATGGGTGTGGCTGCTGGTCAGCCTGCTCAGGGTTGGGAGCTAAGTTAATCCCCAGCACTGAAAAAAGCAGAAGAGGTTAACTGCTAGGTTAACCTCGGACCCCCCTCAGCCTTGGCCCGTTCTCTAGTCTGTTCAGAGCCCCCTTTTGGGGTGGCCTAGGCCTCCCAAGGGTGATTCCCAGGAGTCATGGGTCAGGTGTGACCTGAAGATGGAAGCCCAGGCTCTGAACCCTAACTGGGGAGCAACAGGGTCTTCTGAGTTTTGCCAAGTCCTGTCTATGGATGAAGCAGTATGGGGTGGTGGGTGAGAACTGCATTAGGCCAAGGACCAGACCTAGAAAGTCAGGCTCCCAGTCTTGAGCACCCGAAGTGGGCAGGGTAATGCTGTGGAGTTTAAACTCCAGGCACCAGTTCTGTCCTGTGACGGATCCACGTTATCAGTGCTCCCGCGAGAAGCCAGGTTAAGTGTGGTTATGTCAGATCTTGTAGACAGAACTAGAATCTCATGACTTACCAGTTCTGGGTAGAAGAGCCAACGTTCGGTTTCCTCACTTGAGCTGCATCAAGACAGCTAGATCACCCCAGGGCCTCAACTTCCCCTAAACCGACTTTCTACCTTGACTTTGGGAGGATGTTACTCGTTAGAAAAAGCTCATGGGGGCAGACCCCCGGAGCTCATTGGTCAGCCACTCCAGCCCGGTCAGTGAGCTCAGGGTTAGTGGGAAACCCAGTGTCGGAAAACTGAGGTAGCCACCTAACTTTGACCTCTGGCCTCCACATGTGCATGCATGCATACGCTCATACACCTCCCTCCCACGTGCAAACACCACATAGAGAAAAAGCCTGTCATCAGTTCAAGCACCTGACACAACTTCATCCTATCTGTGGGTTACAGCTTTAAAGCAAACACTGGCAGATGGTGCGGAAAGGTGAGGACCACCAGCTGCTTCAGAGCCTCCGTTCTGAGCAGACTCTGCCACCTACCAAATCAGCCAGGGAGAACTTGGTGGCACCTCAGTGTGCATGCTGCTTTTATTATTTTCATCCAGTAAGTCAATTCAAGCTCCTGGCAGACAGGTGGAGGAGGCTAGGACAGGCCAACCCCAGGCCTTTCCAAGTTACTAACCAGTAACAGCAGTCCAAAGGTGGTCAACACGTGTCCATGTGTTGCATCATTGTAAACAGGGAAGAGAAGCTTGTCTCTTCTTGACCAGACACCTGACAGCTTATAAAAGAATGGCCACGTGGCTCTGATGAGGTGTCATCAAACTCAAGGCTCACTTTGGCAGTTGTCTGCTGTTTCCAGATACAGGGTCTTCCTGTGTAGCTCAAGCTGACCTCAAACTCATGATCCTCCTGAGTGCTAGGATTTCAGACAAGTGCCATCGCTGGCCTTGTATTCACTGTGGCCCAGGCTGGTCTCCAACTTGAGGCAATCCTCCTGCTGTGGCCTCCCAAATACTGGGAGTAAAGGCATGTACCATGGTATCTGGCTTACCTTGGTATTTTTAAAGGACAGTGTGATATTCTGTAAGACATTTCCATGTTATAAAAATACATTTTATATATATAAACACTATACACCATCCTCACACTGAGCCCACAGCTGCACTGCAACTCTGGGGCAGGAGTCATGCTGGATGGACTGACTGCAAGGCTCATTTCCCAACAATCAGGGCAGCCCAGTCTGGCACTGGGAGTCCCCCAAGATGACGCCCCACTTCTTTGTGGGGTCTCCAGTTGTGACCATATAGTACCACTTTGCACTTTGACCTTTTTTTAATTTTTTTTTTTTGTCTTTTGAGAGCAGGTCTCTTATAGTTCAAACTGACCTCAAACTCACTTCATAGCAGAGGACGACGACCTCCTACAGCTGGGGTTGCACGTGTGTGCTCTCACACCCATGAACAATAAAAATGTCTACTTTTCATTTAAGAGAACCTGCGAATAATCAATTATTCCATTTTATGTCCTTCCTACGTTTTAAAATGTGTCATTTAGCACTTTTTTACCTAAAGTCAGAAGTAAAAACGTGATTTCAAAACAAAACAACACATACTCATGAAAACAGCATCTCCGGTGTGCCACTCCCCAGGAGCTGACTGCAGGGCTTGGCCAGGTCAGCACGTCTTCCTATACATTCGCCTGGTTCTGTGCAGCTGGGTGGGCTTCACCTTTCCATCAAGTGTAACAAACATGGGAACCAAAGACGTTGTAAAGATCCTACATCCTCAGTCTGATGAGACTAGTGAGGCGGCTGGGGATCTGGAAGTGACCACAGTTTAAGGCAAGCTAGAGCCCACACAGTGGAGACGGGTAGGGAATCCCACAGCTAGGGCAGGAGCAGCAGCCATGGCAAGGCACAGACCCAAAGGCCCTATGTCCTGGTGTGCGACAGGCCTTGGCAGAGCCCCACCACTCACTGACAGGTCAGCCCAGGTTAAAAGAACTTGGCATACAGTCCAGGCCCACAGGCTCTCCTCAGACACAGTCTGATCCTGGAGCCACCAACTCCGTCTGAAACATGTGAGGTCAGTGAACACACACTCTGGGCAAGAAAAAGCAGGAAAGTTGCTTCCAGCAGTGAACCCCGACATCCGGTGGCAGGAGGGCACTGGGGCCCTGTCCCAGCAGTGCTGCCTGTGGCAAGGCGCTGTGGGCCACAAAGGACCCCCCCCCCACACCGCGAGCACTCAGCTGTTTCCAGGCACTTGACTGCGGTTGGTAACTGAGGGGTTTTCAGAGTCCTTCAGTCGCCATCACGCTGCATGGGCAGATTAGTGGCCTTAAAAATTAACTCTTAGAGCATCTATTCCCAAGAGTAAAGTCCACAGGTGCAAATGTGCAAAGCCCTGAAGGGGTCTTCAAAGTGCTTCTACAAGGCAAGGCCTGGGGGGCAGGTCTCCCTGAATCCTCTCACCCTGAATGGCCAAGAGCTCAGTGGAAATCCAGCCGGGACTGCACAGTCTTACAGCCCTTGTCCGAGTAGATCTTCTCATCCCTGGGGAAAAAGGTCATTTCCTCTGTCACCCTGGTGACAACGTCTTCATCCACAGCAGCCCCTCGGGCCCGCATCTCTGCCCGCACACACATCTTCACATGTCTGTACTCCAGGGGCAGGAAGGGGATGAAGTAGTCGATGAGGTTTCTGTCTATGAGCCCACTGTGCCATAGGCCACCTGCAGAACAAGACACAGCAGGTCTCCTGTCACTGCCACTTGGCCACGCCCTACATCGGATCCTGTCTTTACCCCTGAGAGACTGTCAAGTGGCAAGAGTCCCACCAGGACACCCTAACACTAAGACATCTCCCTGTCAGTGAAGCCACAAGTGAGAGGGGCTGGCTGCCTAAGACGGCCCAAGATGCTGCGAGAAGGTGCTCCTGCGCCAGAGCCACTCACTGTGCTTGTTGTTGAAGACGCCCACGGACAGCACAGGCTCCAGGTCCTTCAGCTGGATCTCTTCCCTCTTTCTTCCTGCCCGCCAGAAGTCCAGGGCCGTCTTAGTTATGAGGTCCCCGCCTGCATTACTGAGTTGGCCAGAGAAGCAAAGACCAAAGTCACACTCCACGATCAACGAAGACTTCTGTCTCCTCACCAAATAAACCCACTTTAAGCTCTTTTCTCTGCTGGAACTGACCCCATGGCCCTGTACATGCTAAGCACATGTCATACACCACACTACATCACACCCTAGCCCCTAAGCTGTGTTCCCATGCACAAGTGGGCAACACCTCTAGCACCCCAAAGCTTTAATCCACAACAATTTACTAAGCGCCACCAAACAAAAATCAAAATGTCTGCTTGCAAGGATCTGAAACACTTTTGTTTTTGAGACAGGATCTCCCTATGTAGCCCTGGCTGGCCTAGAACCTAGAGATCTGCCTGCCCCCACCTCCTGAGTGCTGGGATTAATAATGTGTCACCACAGCCAGCTATGCTGTTTTTAGTTTGCTGAGAACTGACAGGAATGCTATACGTAATAAAATTGCCTCTTTGGGGACTACCTCCCCAGTTATCTGCCTGCCTAGCTTCTGGCTATAACTGAGCCAGGGACTGTGCTGGCACTCCTGTTCCTGGGAAAGTGTGCTGCTGGCCATGAGACCCTGTTCTGGCACTTGAGAATGAGGAGGAAACCTGCTGACCTGAGGAAGATAAAGATGGCCTTGCGGTAGGAGATCCCATCCACCTGCTCGTAGTAATCCAGAAAGGGCTTGATGGCATCAATGATCCCAGGGTGCAACTTATCCATCTCGTCAAATATGAAGACAGAGCTACCGCATGCACTCACGTTGCCACGGATCCACTTCTGGAGCTGGTCCTAGACCAACCAGAAAGAGGCGCAGCTCTGAGAGGCCATGACTGCCTCTGATCACCAGGGAACCACGCTCCCAAACTGTCAAAGTAGAAACTAGCTCAGGGAAAATGAGCCAGGGAAATGGCTCAGCAGGTGAAGGTGCGGGCCGCTGAGCCTGACCACCTAAGCTTAACCCCTGGGATACCACAGTATCCCAAAACCCACTCCTGGAAGTTATCATCTGACTTCCACACACACATGCTCTATTTTAAAGCTTAGGGGGTAGATGCAGCAGCGGCATACATCTGTAACCCCAGCACTCCTACATTAAGGTGGAAGTGGGTGGGCTGGCCAGCCTGGGGTATGTACTGCAGCACCAAGCGAGACGCCGCCTCCATATGGCACAGCACCTGCATGCATACCCACAGATGATAAAAAGTGGGAGCTGGCAGAGGCGAGTGCTCAAGTGCAGAGACGCTTTTCCCGAGATGGGCGAACTGAGGGCGCGAGAGGCCCAGGATACATAGGTGTTTATCATCCCCTGCTAGCCGTCCACAGCGTTCCTCGCAATGTGGACTCAAGTCTTGAGCTCACACTGCCTTAGTGCTGTGAACGCAAAAGAATCTGGAACCACCTGGACAGGAGCCTCTGGGGAATGACCTTGATTCTGTTGAGGTGGGAAGTGGCCGGGGCCCTGGACTGTACAAAGGGAGCTGAGAGACAGCAGCACTCGCCACTGCTTCCTGAGTGTGGACGTGATGTGACCAGCCGCTTCGAGCTCCTGCTGCTGCCTGGCCTTCCCTGCCATGCTGGGCCATACCCCTCAACTGTGAGAGAGAAGCCCTTCCCCCTGGACTTGCTTCTGCCAGGGTATTTTATCACAGCAACAAGAAATAAACCATGCCAGCAGCCATCCTGAGGAACAGGAACTGCATTAAGTCCTCCACAGGACAGGAGACCAAGGCTGTGGACCGGTGAAGTGAGCAAAGGAGCTGACCTGGGCAGCACGGAAAGCACCTGTTCCCATGTTTGCTGCCGCTGCTGTGTGTGTGTGTGTGTGTGTGTGTGTGTGTGTGTGTGTGTCATACACGTTTGTGTGCGCAAGTGTGTAAGTTTGGATTGTGTTGCTGGGAATGGAATCCAGGCCATTGAGTGTGCTAGGTAGGTGCTCTACCGCTGAGCTACAGCCCCAGCCCCCTAGTGCTTTCTTCAAACAGGCATCCAGGCAACGACCTCTCAATCTCCCAAATGTGGAAGATCCTGACCATGAACCACCTCATTTATCATACCACATTTCAACAGATCTGTAGTAACTTTTGGAAAAAGAAGAGGACTTCTGGGCTGGGGTAACTACCTGGTAGAAGTCACTTCCTTAGCATGAGTAAGCTTTGGGTGCTAGCTCCAGCACCTCAAAATCAAACAACCTTTCCCTTCCTTTTGGCAGTCTTCCCTGCCGTACAGTACAGTAACAGGACACACTCCGTACAGAACAGTAACAGGACACACTCCGTACAGTACAGTAACAGGACACATACAGTACAGTAACAGGACACACTCCGTACAGTACAGTAACAGGACACACTCCGTACAGTACAGTAACAGGACACACTCCGTACAGTACAGTAACAGGACACACTCCGTACAGTACAGTAACAGGACACACTCCGTACAGTACAGTAACAGGACACACTCCGTACAGTACAGTAACAGGACACACTCCGTACAGTACAGTAACAGGACACACTCCGTACAGTACAGTAACAGGACACACTCCGTACAGTACAGTAACAGGACACACTCCGTACAGTACAGTAACAGGACACACTCCGTACAGTACAGTAACAGGACACACTCCGTACGTACAGTAACAGGACACACTTTCATTTCCTTGTTCACTGGACTTGCTGCTTCTCATCAGGCCCTACCACACAGCAGGAACGTTAGCACTGACAAGACGTTTGCTTAAGTAAGAATTAGCTGGTATGTAACTTCATACCAGCTGAAGTTACAGGAAGACCGTCTCAAAAAGACCAAAAAAATGCCATGTGGAGGACCAGAAGGATGGGAGGAGCCAAGGGGACAAAAGGCCATTAGGGGAAAATCCTCTAGTGCACCTTGCACTGCAGCAGAGCTGGACAGCATTAGACAGGGCCCAAGCAATAGTTAACACTGCCCCACCTAACACTCTATGCCCCAGTGGGAATACCAATCCAATCACCTTGACCTGTTGTAGGATGTGGGTGGCTAACATGCACACTGAGAGACAGGAGACCGTGAGTTCAAGTCTCTGCACTGCCACAATGTCATGGAGGTTGTCAGAAGTCACCTTGCCTCTCTGGTCCGTCCCCGCCCCCAAGCCCCACTTCAAGTGCTGGGAACTGAACCTGTGGCTCACGCACACTAAGCTAGCTCCATCTTTTGATGGCAATAATGTTCCCACTTCACTGGATTATTTTGAAATAGTACAGAGAGAAAAAACTGTAGGAGAACATTGGATATGGTAGTGCACACCTGTAACCCCAGCACTTGAAAGGTAAAGGTAGGAGGATCCTGGGTTCAAGACAAGCCTTGGCTACACAGTGTGTTTGATGCCCACCATGGCTACGTGAGAGACACTGTCTCAGAAAACCACACACACACAAGCACACAAGTGCCTTAAGCTGAGCATGGTGGTAGATGCCTATTAGTTCCAGCCCCCAGGAAGCTGTGGCAGGATCTCAAACATCAAGGCTGGCCTGGGCTAAGTAAAGAGCCCTAACTCACAGAGCCTGGGGCTATTGCAAGCAAAACCAGGAAGAAACAGAGCCAGGTGGAGCAAGGCGGAGAGAAGCCAAGGCCCAGGCCAGTGGTGAGCAGGTCCCCGAGCCCTTCTGTCTTGCCTGGTACAGTTTTATCTTCTGCTCGTGAGGAAAGTGAAGCGTTGATACAAACAGGTGGACAAAGTTACTCTTCAGGCCTTTTGGATGAAGGTTTTCGGCCACAATCTGGCTGACAAAATTCTTGCCTGTGCCAGCCCAGCCATGCAGGGACAGGGTCAGTGGTTTCTTGGGATTTTTGTTGTTCCTGAAGCCAGTCAGTGCCTTCAGAATCACTTCGGTGGCTAGATGCTGTCCGAACAGCTTCTCCTCTAAGTCCAGCTTCAGGGCTGTGGAGGCCAGTCACCCGACAGAGAGAGAAAAATCCATGTTAAAAAGGTACCTGAAGAGGCAGGCGTGGTGGCGCACACCTTTGATTCCCGCACCCAGAGGCAGAGGCAGGCGGATCTCTGTGCGTTCAAGGCCAGCCTGGTCTGCATAGCCAGTTCCTGAAAAGCAGTGCTTTCCCAGCTGGTCAGACACAGGCACCGCTGGGCGAGGGATCCCTCGGGGCGTCGGCCAAGCCTCAGAGCCCGAACCTAAGGGGTGTGGAGCCAAATGATGCCACTTCCACGCCCAACACCTAAGTGTCTGACGAGGAGCTTAGGCGACTCATTCTTCCAGGGCTGGGCGCCAGGTATTTTCCCGCCACCCGTGCAGGCTGGGAGGCACACAGGGTCCCAGGTGGGCTGCAGGAACTACGCCGGCCGTCCTCCCGCCTGCCCCGGGGCTCCTCCCGGCCGTCCTCCCGCCCGCACCTACCGGACGCGTTGAGCGGCCGCTCCTCGTGGCAGCACTCGGCGAAGCGGCAGTACCAGTCGGTGTAGGACAGGTATCCGGTGAGCGCCGACACGGCCCCGATGGCGATGCCTACGCTCACAGGCTCGAACGCCGCCACCACGCGGGCGGCCAGCACAGCCCACAGGGCCGCGCTGCCTCCGAGCGCCCCCCGCATGCCCCGCCTCGGAGCCCGCAGCCCGCAGCCGCCGCGTTGGGCTCAGCCACAGGAGTACCGCAGACAGGGCTTCCGGTAGGATCGTCACTTCCGCCCATTCGGGCTGCAGCCATGTTGGTAAGGGGCGGAGAGGCGGGAGGCGCCATGTTTATAAGTGGCACGAAGCTGTCTAGTGATTGCTTCGAAGGAACTCCTGCCCTGACTTTTAGGGAGCTAACTTTCCCTCCCTCTCTCTCTCCTCTCTCCTCTCTCCCTTCTCCCCCCTCTCCCTATGTGCTCCCCTCCCCCTCCTCCCCTCTTCCCCTCTCCGCCCCTCTCTCCTCTCCCCTCTCAGAAGGACCTATAAGAGCAACCAGTGCTCTTAACCACTAAGGCACTTCTCCAGCCCTCTCTTTTCCTTTCTTTTCTTCTTTTGGTCTTTTTTTTTTGAGACAGGGTCTCCCTGTAGCCCCAGCTGTCCTGGAACTCCCTATGTAGACCAGGCTGGACTTGAACTCACAGAGATCCGCCCATCTTTGCCTCCCAAGTGCTGGGATTAAAGGTGTGCGCCACCACGCCCAGCTCCACTTTTCCATTTTTAAAATTTAAAAATTGTGTGTGTGTGTGTGTGTGTGTGTGTGTGTGTGGTGTGCATACATGTGTGTATACACCACAGAAAGGCTAAAGAAGGACATTGGGTGTCCTACCCTACTACTTCCCACCTTACTCCTTTGATACAGGACCTGTCACTGAACGTGGAGTTAGGGTGGTGGCCAGCAAGCCCCAGCCATCCTTCGTCTCTCGCTCCCACAGCGCTGGGGGTATAGGTCTGCACCTAGCCATGCCTGCTTTCTACACAGGTCCTGGGGATTCTAGAACTTAGGTCTTCGTGCTTTCACAGGAGGAGGTTTTACCTACCAAGCCATCTCTCCAGACCCTCTTTTTCTTTCTTTTCCTTTTTCCTGCAGCAAGCACTCCACCACTAAACCACACCCCCAGTTCCCAGAGACTTTCACGAGCCTTTCTCAGAGCCCCAAACTTGGCTTTGTTATCTCCCCAGACTGTGATGAGCACTTCTGAGATCTGCCCACCTGAGATCTGCCTTTTTCCTAACACTTGCAGAGAGTCCTCTCTGTGTTAGACCCAGGGCTAAACAGGAGGGGAACAGAAGTACATAGGGAGACCTGCTAGGGTTGCACAGGCAAACCCAGATGTTCATTCATTCTGCATGCCACGTGGCAGGCCCCTGGCTAAATGCTGGGACGACTGCAGTGGAGGAGACAAAAGTGACCCTGCCTTCAGAACTCACAGGCTGTGGGCGTGGCAGGCAAGGGGCCAAGGACCACCATTGAGCCATCGAAGTCCAAGAATCCTGGAACAGAGAGGGCTTTGCCTAAGCCGGAGATTAAAGGAATTATCCAAGCAAAAACTAAAGGAGTTGGCCAAGCAAAACAAGAGAGGTGGTGCGTTATACAGAGAACAGAATGTATAGAGGGTCAGTTGGGGGCGGGGCTTTGGGAATATTTCACTTACAGGAGGGCAGTGAGAGATGAGGATGGAGAACAGAGCAGTGCCTACAAGATAAAGGGCTTGCAACGGCTGAAAGGAGTTTAGCCTCTGTTCTAAGGTGGAATTGGGAGCCACAGGTTTTTATAAAAATATTTTATTTAGTATCTTTATATGTATGAGTGTATTTCCATGTATGTAAATGCACCCATGTTGTGCAGTTTCAGTGGAGGTCAGAAGAGGGCATTGGATTCCCTGGAACAGGAGTTATGGATGGTTGTTAGCTGCCATGTGGATGCTGGGAACCAAACCCAGGTCCTCTGCAAAAGCAACCAGTGCTCTTAACTGCTGAGCATCTCTCCAGCCCAAGAGCCATAGGGTTTTTAAAAACATATTTTATTTATTATTTTTATTTTATGCATATGTGTGTATGGCCTGCATGTAGGTAAGTGCACCTGTGTTGTGCAATGCCCACAGAAGACAGAAGAGGCTGTCGGATCCCCTGGAACTGGAGTTACAGACAGTTGTTAGCTGCCATGTGGGTGCTGGGATTCAAACCCAGGTCTTTTGCAAGAACAACCAGTGTTCTTAACTGCTGAGCCATCTCTCCAGCCCTGAGCCATAGGTTTTTAATAGGCACTCATAGCCAGCTCAGAGCTGCTGGGTTCTGCCTACTAGGCTCACCAGGGAGAGAGACAGCAAGGACCCAGAGAGGAGCCAGTTACAGGGGTCCATATAAACATTGTCCAGAGGAGCCAGTTACAGAGGTCCATGTAAACATTGTCCAGAGGAGCCAGTTACAGGGGTCCATGTAAACATTGCCCAGGCTTTGCCAAACTTGGTTGACTTCATCCTTTAGCCAATCTACCAACAAATATCCCAGGAACACTGGCTATGTATCAGACAAGTTTACAGCAGGGGACAGGACAGGCTTGGTTCCTGTCCTCACAGAGTTCTGTCTCATGGAGAGCTAGTAGGTATCTGTGGCCACGACTGTAATGCAGGTGTACAAACTGAGGTGGGGATGAGAGGGGAGCTCTCCTGCATATCTCAGTTGTGACCGAGGAATGAGTAAATATTCCCCAAGCAGATGGGACGCTGGAGAGGGAAGGGGTGGAGGTAGTCAGACTGAAGGGTCTGGGCAGGGGCAACCTGAACAATGGCTGGTGGTAAGAGTGGGGAATAGAGGAAGCCTCACATGGGCATCTACTGGACTGTGAGGTCAGAGCAGAGGTAGGGAAGACTGGAGGGCTGGTGGGTGCTAAACCTCCAGGCCCCTCTGAGCCATGCAAGGTCTCCGACCATGACTGTTGTTTCTGAGGTTTTAGGACAAAATTCCTGGATCCCAGAGCCCCAGCAAGCCAGACTGCCACCCATCCCCAAAACACCAATTAAGAAACAAGGGGCTGGAGAGATGACTCAGAGGTTAAGAGCACTGGCTGCTCTTGCAGAGGACCTGGGTTCAATTCCCAGCACCCACATGGTGTCTAACACCCATCCATAGCTACACTTCCAGGGGATTGGACACCCTCTTCTGACCTCTGTGAGCATTGCACAACCCGGGTACACTTATATACATGTAGGCAATACACTCATGCATGTAAATAAAATTAATAAATAAAAAAAATTTTTTTTGTCTTTTTGAAGCAGGGTCTCCCTGTAGCCTCAGCTGTCCTGGAACTCACTATGGAGACCAGGCTGGCCTCGAACTCACAGAGATCCACCTGCCTCTGCCTCCCAAGTGCTGGGACTACAGGCATGCACCACGATGCCTGGCTAATAAAATATTTTTTTAAAAAGAAACAAGTAGGGCCGGGCGTGGTGGCACACACCTTTAATCTCAGCACTCGGGAGGCAGAGGCAGACAGATCTCTGTGAGATTGAGGCCAGCTTGGCCTACATAGTGAGTTCCAGGACAGCCAGAGCAGGCTCAGCCACCTATTTTCAATATACATATTAAAGAAACAAGTAATAGTGAAAAGCAGATAAAGATTGAACCGTGTCACGGGGCAGGAGGTACAGATAAGAGGGTCCAGTGACCCCAAGTCCATCTCCTGGGTACTGATGTGAACTTTAGGTTTAAATAGACAACTGGGACAGGGAACAGAAGGCATGCATAGGTAAGCAGTCATGGTCAAAGGGTGGTTTGGTTGATCATTATCTCTGTTCTGCAGGGTGGTTCAAAGAAGTCCTCGCTGCTTGAAGGGACAAGCCAGTTTTCAGGAGATGTTTGCTCCTGCTCTGGCCTTTCTCCATAGATAACTACCCACACTTGGCTCACCAGTGCTTGGAGTAGTTTTGGTCCCTTGTCATAAGGATGTTTATTGATCAGTCCTGTTCCAGGAATGCAAGGTGCCTGCAGGTTTAGGATGGTGGCTGGAGCATAGTTTGGCAGTCTGGATCGGGACACTGTAACAGCTGACAGTAGCTGGTGCCGTGGTAGACGCATGTAATCTCAGGAGGCAGAGGCTGGAAGTTTGGGAGTTCAAGGCCATCCTTGGCTGCACAGCAAGTCAGACACCAACCTGGGCTACATGAGACTCTGTCTTCTCACACACCCGTGCACACATGTGAGAGCTCCTAGGAGGAGGGGGTTGGGGAGAGGAGGAGGAGAGGGAGGAGGAGAAAAAGGAGGGAGAGAGAAGTGATGGGGAGATGCTCAATGAAGGCAGTTGTCAAGCTTCCCCTGCTGTTAGTCACCTTGTTGGACTAGGAGAGGAGGCAGTGCCTGTCCTGTTCCAATCACTCTGGACTTGCATTAGGCTTGGAGAGATCATGGCCATGGAGGGGAGAGACTTGTTCTGAGGTTAGAATAGTGTCCCAGAGGGAGCAGCCAGGTAGCCTGAGTTGAAATGGAAGCATCATCAGGGAAGGAGTTAACTGGAGGTGGAGCCAGGGCTAGGGATGGGCCACTGGGGCCGGGTGAGCTGCCTGAGGAGCCGGGAGCTCTGTGGAGACAGGTAGAGGGCAAGTGGGTTAGGATGGCAGCGCCCTCCAGTGGGCTCATCTAGTCTTGCAGCTCTAATGGGTTTCGTGAGCAAGACACATTTACTTCATGTGGTTCTGGTGGCTGGGATAGGTGAGGTCTGTGACTGCAGCCAGTGTTTGTTGAGGACTGCTCTCTGTGTCCTAGAGGGTGGTGTCCTCCCAGGGGAAGGATGTAAGTCCTCCATGCAGAAGAAAACAGGGCAAAAAGGGCCTCACCACCAGTCTTAACCCTATTGATGAGGGCAGAAGTCCCTTGCCTCATTACCTTTCTCTCTCTCTCTCTCTCTCTCTCTCTCTCTCTCTCTCTCTCTCTCTCTCTCTCTCTCTCTCCTTCCCTCCCTCCCTGGGGGGGGGCAGGCAGAGGTCAATGTTGGGTGTCATTCTCAGTCCCTCTCCACTTTATTTGTTTATTTATTTAGAGACAGGGCCTCAGAATGTAGCCTTGGCTGGCTTGGAACTCATTATGTAGACCAAGCTGGCCTCAAACTCACAGAGGCCTCTGCCTCTTAAGTGCTGAGATTAAAGGCCTGTGCCACCACTTCTGGCCCTCCACCTTCTTTATTTTTTAATTTACAAAAACCTTTTTTTTCATAT